CCCCATAAGCTACAAGGGTCCCTACTAGGGGTCCCTCCAAAACTCCTTAGATGGGAGTATTGCAGAATCGAAAAAAAAGACATACCAACAAACCCAAAAGCAGCCAAGCCTATCGTGTGAGGGCTTTGGGTGGAGGTTGAAAAAAGGACTCTCTACACACAAATGTCGTAACACTCTAAGTGGGTAAGTGCATCACCCCAAAAACACTCCTAAACCCTAAACCCTAAACTGAACAGCCGGGTATCTCCCTCTGCCCCACCTAGCATCAGGATGTTGACCTTCATGGAGACTTCGGGCCATGCATGCAGCAGCTCCAGGTACTCTCGCATGCGTATCAACTGACACGGGATAGGGCTTATAGGGTTCAAGGCTTTCATCTTCGAGTTTTGGGATATGCTACTGAAGGTTTAGGGATTTGGGTGGTTTAGGGTGTGGTTGACGACAAGGACAAAACTCTTCTGATGGATAATGTAAGCTTTTATGAGGGAATGCCCCTATGCAGAATACCATTCCCATGGAGGTTCATGTCACCTGGGCCTTCTAGTACATACCTTACGCCCAACACCCACCCCAAATATTCCCAAAATGACCTGCAGATATTTGTGACGGGTTCGCGTTAGGGTGCGGGGGGGTAACATACTTGGATGATCTTTTGACTTCGTATATCTACCTACCATCCCCAATAACCCCGACAAGCCACATGACCTTTGTTGCTGAGTAGACTTACCAAGTCAAGAAAACCTCCAGGTAGGATGGCAGGGTAATGCGGGATCCCAGGAGAAGCAGACTGCAAGTCCTTGGTTGCCTGCTTCTGCCTGAGGGTCCAAGGACCAAACATGACAGGGCTTTAGGTCCCAAATACCGTTAATATTACAGAATTCCGTCTCAAAAAAGGTGCATGTTCAGGGCATTTGTACCAAAAGCCGAGCCTTTGTCTAACTCCGAGTGCAGTAAGAAGACTTTGTTAACACAGCACGCAAGATTAGGACCCTATATAAACCCTGAACCCTAAACTTATGATTATAGTCTCTCTCTGCGCCCTTGAGTTCGGTTTAGGGTGGGTTTGCCAATGTCCGCCTACCGCTGTTACTGAGTTGCTGTTCAGGAACTTACCAAAAGCCACTCTAGTATGGATGCATCGTAAACATGGTTTTGCTGAACACTACCTTCCAGTTCTTTAACCTTAAGGGTCCAAGCACTCAACAACCGCAGATACTTGCCCAAAACCTGTACTACAACTGCCAGTACCAAAATCTCAAGTATCCATACCCTTACCCACCTAAAGGATCCAAAAAATAAAATCTAATAATCCCCTAGTCTCCCCAATGTAGTAACTGGTTCATATTGGGTGGGGGGTTCCATTTTTTTGGATCCTTTAGGGGGTCTGGGTAATTGGGTACATGGACCCTTAAGTCCCCCAAGGCACAGCAATCCAGACTACTTGTGCTGGACGGGTGACTAGCCAACTCTCAGGGCTCTTCTTGAACTTAAAACGCCACAAAACAGCAGGTCGTAAAAAACTTGATTTTTTTGAATCCTGCGCATTAAGCTCTAGATCCAAAAAAAACCCTCAACGCTAGACCCTGAGCCCTTCAAAATCTCCGCCCTAAACCTTAAACCCTGCACCGCCTCAGAGAAATGCCCCCGGATGAAGTGAAGGGACTCCCTCTCAAGTTCTTTGGCCTGAAACAACGCTCAAACCCTGGTTCCACATCAGGGGGTTTGGGGTTTACCGTCCTCCCATCCACAATAGTCATATACCTTAAAATGATTCTTATACTAGCAATTACTAGAAATGGATACTTGGGCTTCGGGGAATGTATGATCTGTACGTTGAACTCTTAGGGGGGGTTAGGCTTCAGGGTAGTAAAACATAACATGCCGCTAGACATTCCTCATTGGGCTTGAATAAACCAAACAAGGTGATGCTCAGGATTGTAGGGGCTTTGGTGTTTAGAACTAAACCCCAAACCCTAAACCCCTAAACCCTAAAACCTAAACCCCAAAACCTGAGTCCTAGAGGGGTTCAGGGCTTAGGAGCTTAGAGGTCGTGGGTAGCTAGAAATAGGAGTTCAGAGGTCAGGAGTAATTGCAGCTGGGTTGGCACCTCAAGCCGGGTTACAACCATGTTTAGGGTTTGGGGCTTTGGGCTTTAATCTACGGAACTAGCCAGGTATCCAAGCTTGAATTGTCCACGGAATCTGATGCAATTCGCACTCGCACCCCTGAAAGAAACTGCGACCTGTTTTCGGAATCTCTTCATGCCTCTCGCTCTTGCCAAATTCTGCTCCTACACGAGCGATGTTACAGTGCTGGAGACCTTAATAATGGAGAATCAAACGGAACAGAAGATTAAAGATGAAACGGAAACTGGGTTTACATTGGGGCTTATAGGGGTAGTAATCCCCTCTCCTGATATTACACCTCCTCCAGTATCAAATGTTTTTCAAGTGCCGTCGAAAGTGGAAGGCCATGCCAAAAGTGGAAAACCATTTCTAAACGGGGCCAAAGCAAAGAAACCTAAAAACGAATTAGGAGGGTCTGAGGCCACTAGGGGGCTTACGATGAGGAGTCATCATGGATTAGGGATCTCCTTGATGCCATAGGTGTTGACACAGTTATGATGGCGCTTCATACAGCTTATCCTAGAAAATCATAGCGCAGAATGTAAAGTTGATCTAGTTAGGATCGGGGATCACAGTAATTTGCTGGATATGTGTTGCTTAATAAAGCTTTGTTTGAAGGTTTTATGCAAACCCTAAACCAATGAACCAGGATTCTGTAGTTGATTCGGATCTTCTTTTTCCTCACCTGTTAACTAGCAGTAGTTACGTGAGCTATAGTATAAACTCCTAGTATCCCCCTAGCTAACACCCACACATAATATTCCAATATAATCCCCTATATAACCCCCTTAAGGAGTTTAGACTATAGTGCACACAATTATAAAAGCTGCGGCTTTGAAAGTTGATTTGCAATGGGGCCTGTCCAACCTGTTCACGAAGTATACCCTCAGCAAAAATCCTGTTTTCCTGCCGGGCAACTTTATCATGAAGGAAAGCTTTAATACAAGGGGACACACATGATGTACAAATATCTCTCTATATATATAAATATGCATGTAGAAGGATTCTTGGGGAAAGCGACGCATTGGAGGACGACATTTCAATCTAGTCCGGGTCCGCCCAAAAACCCTAAACCCTAAGCCGCGCCCAAAAGCCCTACTTGCAGACGTCTGCCACCATACCCCCACCCTTATACCCTACCCCTGTTTGAGTTTAGGGTGGCACCTAACCTTCAGTTGATGATCTTCTTTTCAGGTACCCTAAGAAGGGTTGAGGGTACTGGCATAGGACATAACAAGAACGTGCTATCCACTAGGAGTCATTAGAGGCGTTGTATAGGGTTTAGGGGTTGAGGGTTTAGGGCCCCAGTCCCGCAAGGAGCCATGATGCCTGTGGAAGGCGTGGAGAGGCTGTAGGGTGTAGATCATTTTACGGCATGGGGCTTGGCCTAAAATTACCGTTTTGCAAATGAGGGAAATTCAGGGACCTGTATGATAACAGGAGCCTGACTCTCGGGACCCATATTAACTGTCCCCCTAAACCCTTAAGCCAAATGAAATTCGGGAAATCCCCCCATGGGGATCCTTGGCGAGCCATGACGCAGAAACCTAAACCCCAGTTGATGGTTTTAGGGTCTAGGGTTTGGGGCATTCCGAACCCCCCATCTATAACTTTTAATAGGTCCACGTTGGGAGGGGGGAGGGGGTAGGGGAACAAAAAATCCTTGTCAACAAAACAAGCCTATACCTGCACTCACAGAAGCAAGCTAAAACACTGGTCGGGGATATGGGGTAACGCAGGGGTAATATGAGGATATTTTAGATCCCCAAAATGGAGAATCAACCGGAACAGAAGGTGGAACATCAAATGGGAACGGTGATCAGACGCCTTCAATATCCCCCTACATGTTTCACGTACAACCCTAGATGTTTCTTAGACAGCCCAATACAACCCCATACCCACATATACCCTAGAAGAACCCCCAGGGTTCCCAGCTTTTAGCAGTAAACCCCCTAAATCCTCAACCCTGAGCCGTAAACCCTAAACCCTAAGCCCTAAAACCCAAACTATAAACCTTAAGCCCTAAATCCGAAACCCTAAGCCCCAAGCCCTAAATCCCCAACCCATATATAATCCTATATAAGCCCTACATCACCGCTTTAAAGGCACCCTAAGCGCGAAATCCTAGACCGTAAGCCCTAAATCCTGAATTGTAGTTTCCGTTTTCCTTTGCACAATCCCTATCCCTCGGGATCCACATAGCCTAATATCTACAGACTCTAGGCTCTAGGCCCGAATTTAGGTAATATTTGTATACTTGGATTCCTAGGGTATATAACCCCTATATAACCCCCCCCAAGTCCTAAGCCCTAAACGCTTAAGCCCGACTCGGGAATCCCAAAGAACTACGTGGCACTTAGGACCCCTACTAAGGGTTAACCCTTAGGTGCCTATCACAGGAACATAAGGGAATCCCAAAGGGTTAAGGGTCTAAGGTCCAAGCTAAGTCCCAAGGAGACCCTAAACCCTAAACCCTTAACCAAAGAAGCCCCGAGCCTGCAGGAGAAGGGCCTGAGCAGCGATTCCGCAAACCGACTTGGGACTGAACTGCGCGATAAGGTACGCCTCTCGGAAATGGGGTTTGGGGTTAAGGGGTTTAGGGTTAAGGGTTTAGCGCCTCGGAAATGGGGTTGAGGCTTTAGGGGTTTAGGGGTTTAGGGGTTCAGGGTTAAGGGGTTCAGGGTTTAGGGGTTCAGGGTTTAGGGGTTCAGGGTTTAAAGTTTAGCCTCTCCGAAATGGGGGTCTAGGTTTAGGGTTTAGCATCTCAGAAGTTGGGTTCTTCGCATAGGGTGTAGGGTTTAAGATAGATGGGTTGCTGGTGAGTTGCCCTATGAGTTCCTAGGTACGGCTCCGGGGATCTTAGGAAGTGTACCTCGCAAAATGGTTGCAGGTGTTGTACCTGAAGCCCCAAAAGTATGTAAAACAATGGCCTTTATGGCTATTATTATGGGTTAAGGGCTATTATTTTACATACTTTTGGGGCTTAGGTATAATCATGTCGGAACTGAGAAATTTACGACTTTTCAGTGGATGAATTGCATATTGGGGTCTATTTTGGGCCTCCGATTCGTGCAAATACCATTTGGGGGTTGTGGGCGTGGGGGGGGTGCACGGTTTAAGCTTTGAGGGGTGTCCTATGGTGTGGAGATGTAGGTGAATCACGTCTAGGGCTTACTTGCGGGTGCTGATGGGTGAGGTTCGGATATGGGGAGGGTGGAGGGAATATAGAAAAAGTATCTGGGTATGATAAAGGGGGTTGTGATATGATCCACTACCCACTCCCTAAACCCTAAACCCTCCCTTAGGTTTGCTAAAAATGCAGGTCGGGACTTCTGGTATAGTAGAAACAGGTCAACCGTTTTTAGAATCCACTGCAAGAAATTACCTCCACAGGAAAACAAACGCTGTGGACAGCCTACCCACTAATAGTGACCACGACAGATGATAACCACATTGGCGGACGCTTATGAGAATGACTTAGTGTCATTGGGTACATAAAAGTTGTCTCTGCCTTTGGAAGCACCCGCGCACGGGTCCCTGCACACCTCCTGTAGCGAACATCGTCGGTGGGGGAATCACCTAGATTCTTCGAACTAGAAATCTGCACAAAAACTTCGCAGATAGCAAAACCCATCTTCGACGAAACCAAGTGAGTAGCAGTCAGAAGAATGTCCGAGATATTGCCCGCAATACGCTTCTCCATGTAACCACTTCCTGAAACACGAAAAAACCTTGAGCTTCAGGACATAAACAAGACTTGCGATACTGTGTAGACTAGAACTGAAGATTTTCAGTGTGCAAGGTACTCTACTATAAACACCAAGGCAAAAGAGCACAACTTAAGGGCTCAGGGTTTGGTGTGCGGGCTCAAGCCTGCCACCCTGGACGGCTTTTAGGGATAAGGCTTGGGTTTCGGGCTTAGGGTTAGGTTTGGGCTTAGGGTTTACGCTTATAAACCTTCCATCATTACAAAGCCCCAAGCCTACAACGGAACTTCCATGAACTTCCCAAGCCCAGGTGCATTCTGAACCTGGACGTCTACACCCCAAATCGCCACACGTACCGATGCTTGAGGAGTGGGGGAGTAGGTGGTTTAGGGTGGGGAGTCCACTCCCCCACTCCACCCTAAACCCTCCCTCTCTCTCTTGCAGACTCGCGTTCGTCAGCTCCGAGAGTAGCTCCCGTTTTATTACCACGCGGCCACTCCCCCCTTAAACACCCAGAAGCCTAAACTCATTTTTCATTCTCCCCATACAGCCCGTACATAACCCCTATATAATCCCTGTATATTCCTCAAATTATATAATCCCTACATAAAATGGTAGTTGCCATTATAAGCCCCACAGCAGGGCTGTAGATTGCCCGCTGCACCTCGCACAAGCGCTGGAGACGGGTGACCTGATACCTTGGTCGCCGAAGCATCGCGTTTGGGCCCCTTACTGAACCTAAGGCTTACCTAAACCCCCAAAAGTATGAAAAAAAAAAAAAAGCCCTAAACCCATAATAATAGCCATAAAGGCCATTAGTTTACATACTTTTGGGGTTCAGGTACCCATAAATTAAATACTTGGGATTTGGGTGATAGTAGTCATAGTACAGCAGTTTGGAAAGTAAATGATTATTGGGGACTTGGACCGTGAGGATAGGAGGGCTGCCAAAAAATGGGTGCTTTTAGCGCAGACAAAAGCTCAAGTTATGACTGGGTTGAAACTCATCCTTATAAGTTATGGATAACACCAAGTGTTTGGCGCGATGCCTACCCAGCTTGCTGTCTTTCGGTGCGGAAGGGAATGTAGAAGAACATGGAAGCTATCTCAATTCAGGTTCATCGGCCAGAAAATGTTTACACTTCGTATTATAACAGGGTTATAGAAGCTCGAATGGTGTCAAGCAACTCCTTATCGATGACCCACCCCTGTTTTGGCGCGAGCGGGCCACTTCGCAGTTAATTAAGTGCGCAAGTTTCCTGGGAACCCATTAGGGAGAGGGTGCACAGGCCGGCTTAGCATACCTACCCAGCCTAAGGGTCCAAGTATTGAGTAATCATATACTTCCCTGCAATACTATTTCTAGAAGCTGCTAGCTAATCGAGACCCAAGGAATAAGCTATGGAGATTATTGCTGGGGGGTACAGAGTTTGGGGTTTCGGGCTTAGAGTACAAGAGCTGCTATAGGGATCCATTCTACTGTTGATGGAGGAAATCTTGCACCACCTTAAGTCCCTAAAGTCCTAGGAATTACAGTAATTTAGGGCCCCTAGGTGGTGCAAGATTTCATCCAGCAACAGTATTACCGAGCACCAATTAGGCTTCGGGATGCACTGTGCGGGTTCCAGTGGTTAGGGTTCCGAATTTTGGGGTTAACCGTTTAGGGTTTGAGGGTTTAGGGATTTAGGGGTTTAGGGTTTAGGGTTTTAGGGTTTAGGGTTTGGGGTTTAGGGTTTAGGGCAGGTTTTATCCTCAGCGCTCCCAGTTTATAATTGTACTGGTGCTGGCACTTTCATTGGGCCCCACAGTCTGTGAATACCAGCAACATTGGGCCATCTGGAAACCTAGAGAATTGGTTTCCCTAAGCCTGAAACCTTAAACCGTAGAATTGAGTGCTCCGGGTCTGGGCCCGGGGGTCCAGGACCTGGTGGTTTCCAAGCATCAGGCGATGTGACGAGGACGCTCATTGGAGGTGTGTAGCCCCGAAGCGGGTAGCAACATATAAAGATGCTCAACGTACGTGCCTCTAGGGACGTTTTTGGAAGATCTTATTGAGCTTACCTACTATCCCCAATAACCCCTATCACAAGCCTCGTAACTCTCCCCTTTACTAAGTAGACTTGCTAAGTCGAGAGATCCTAGTCGTGGACGTATTGGGCTTGGAGGTAGATTCCCTGGAGGGTCAGGAGACTTAGTAAGTAGGCTGGCAATGGGGTTGACTAGTCTTATTACATGACCGTTGTGGGTGTCAGAAATTATAAGTATGCTTACCAAGACACTCCAGGTAAGGGGCTCGTCTGTAAGGACTAACCCACACCGTTCCTAATAACAAATACTCCCCTGAATAATACAAACCCTAAGCCCCCTCAACCCTAACAACCCCTAAACCCTAAACCCTAGGCCTGAAACCCTAAACCCCTAAACCGATTACAAGCCGCATGCTCATCCTAAGTCAAGCGGGCGAGCTGAGGGTTTAGGGTTTAGGGGTTTAGGGTTTGGTGTTTAGGGTTTAGGGTTTAAGGTTTGGGTTCAGGGATTTATGTGGAGAAAGGCTCGTCTCTGGAGTGCTACAGGGTTTAGGGCGTAGGGATTAGGGATCAGGGTTTAGGGCTTAGGGATTAGGGTTTGGGGCTTAAAGTAAAATTAGTCCCCCTTAAGTAGATAGAATGTGGGTATATGGGGATCTTGTTTTAATATACTCAAAGCCATACTCTATTCTCAAGGGGGACGATAGGTACATAGCAAACTACCCACCAGTCATGGACCTCTACACGAGGTTTGCCCAACAAATGAAATCCAAAATCATCTGCACCGCCCTACACCTACAGAACTGCTCAGGCTAACCCATGCCAAAAAGATAACGTGAGAGCACTGACAACGCAGTAGACACAAAAGAACTTACAAGTGCAGTTGCATAATGCGATGATAGCTAGGGCCCCATGAAGCCTGGCAATCGCATCCCAGCTTGCGTGAGGCGAAGCAGAACAGGGATAAGAACCAAAAACCATGACGCTGCATCTTCACAGTGGAAAGAAGATGCAACAACATCAGGAACAAAACAGACATTCTGTCCACCTGCAACACCATGAAAGGCCCGAATATTCTCAAGCATGAACCCTTAACACTGAAACTGAAAACGTCACATTAGCATAGGGACAAAAAGGTAAGGGATCCTTTGTGCAGCCATTTTCAAGGAAACCACGACCCAATGAGCAAATAGGATGCGCAAAAAGGACGCAGTACTCAACCAAGTGCACCCTAAACCATGAGTCCTCGAACCCTCAACCCTGAACCCTAAACACCTTAAACCCCGAACCTAACTTGTGAAGTGCGGGATGCTTGTGGGCTACCGCGAGAAGGCCCTGGTATTGCGACACAACCCAACCTGTCTCGTCCAAAAAGCAAGGGGGAAGGAGGAGAAGGTTTAGGACGTAGAGTCTTAATGTAGACCCATGATTAATAAACCCCCTCCTTTTAAGGGCTTTAGTGTTGTGATCTATTATAATCCCCATTAAGGGGAGGGGGTTTGTTAATCACGGGTCTGGGTTAGGGTTTGGCGTAACCCTAAGACCTAGACCCTTAAGTCTAGTGTTTAGGCTTTTAGAGTTTAGAACTTAAAGGTTGGATACTGCCCCCACTCAGTAACAGTGGGATAAT